TATGTTGAAATCCCAACCCCAATGTGATAATATTAGGGGATGAGGCTTTTGGAAGGCCTCCTTAATGGGATTAGTGCTCTTATGAAAGATATCCCAGAGAATAACATAGCCCTCTTTCTGCCAGAAAGTTGACAGTCCAGAAGAGGGCCCTCATCAGAACTCAACTATGCTGGTGCCTGATCTCAGACTAAAGGAAATAAGTTTCTCTTGTTCATAAGTCAGTCTGTGGTACTTTGTTATAGCTGTCCAAATTGACTAAGATAGACACTGTGTTGGGTGCTAAGAACAAGTAATACCAGATCATTTTGAGAAGTGTTTCTGGGTTAAACTATATTCAAGGTACTCAGATTTCAGCAAAACAAATGACAGAAATATTCATGCTATCAATACAGGCAAAAATGTGTCAAAAGCACAGGAAAAGCAACTAAAAAAGTCAAGTATAATAGCTGTGTAATCTTGGGCATAATACTTAAACCTATCTGGCCTTCATCTATAAAATGAGGTAATTTGTCTGGATAGCCAAGATTTCTTCCAAGATGTTCCATTTCCTTTGATTAAAGATAAACTAAAAATAGACACAAAGACTTTTTGGAGGACAAATTTGATGTAATGCACACGCTTTTTAATCCAGCAATTCACAATTCCATTTTTAAGATTTTAAGATGCTATACTATGGAAATACTCATACTAGTATACAGTCACATGCAGAAGATGTTTACTACTGCTATATGTAACAGCAAAAGAAAAGCAATTTAAAGTCTGTCAATAGAAAGATGAAGTAAACTGCAGACAATCATATAATATTCAGAAAGAATGAGGTAGACCCAGACGTGTTGACACAGATAACACCTATAAAATGGTATTAACAGATTATAAACATTTCTCTTAGTTTGTCTTATTCATGTAATTGACTAAATTCATATATTCCCTCTACCACTTTCTAATTCTTCATTATAGGTAAGTTTTTAAAATCTCTATAAGCTTCAGTTTTCTCATCTGTTGAGCGAGAATAATTATAGAACCAACATTTCAATTATATTATAACAATTATAACAATTAGTCAAGTAAAACAGGACAAGCATTAAGTGCTCAGTAAGTGTTAGGTGTTACTTCACTTATGTAAAGTTTTGTTTTGTTGTTGTTAATGGAGTCAAATGGTCTCTTCCTGAATGACTTCTCTATTTCAGCTTTATTGGAAATAATCCTAATATAAAACTTATTTTCTCAAATAGTCAATTCTTACCAGTTATTTAATAATCCATGTTCTTGTCACTAATTGGAAATCCCACCTTTATCATAAGCAAAATTCCTATACATATGGAGGAGGTCTATTTCTGGCTCTAAATCAGGGGTTAACAAACATTGCAAGTAAACGGCCATGTAGTAAATATCATAACCTCAACCCTGCCTTGGAGCACAAAAGCAGCCACAGAAATCTGTAAATGAGTGAGCATAGTTATATTCCAATGGATACTGAAATTTGAACTACCTATAATTAATGACACAAAGTATTATTCTTCTTTTACTGTTTTGTTTTGAAGCACTTAAAAATATAAAAGCCATTCTTAGGTCACAGGTCATACTAAAATAGGTGAACAGCCATATTTGGCAACTTGTGCTCTGAATCTTTACATTTTCATACACTCTTAAAATTTTGCCCCGACCTTTTTCTTTTTTTTTTTAAGATTTATTTATTTATTTTAGAGAGAATGAGAGAGTGAGCAAGTGCTGGGAGGGGCAGAGGGAGAGGGAAACTCCAGCAAGCAGACTCCTCACTGAGCTTGGGAGGCCAACACGGGGCTTGATCTTACACCCCAAGATCCTGCCCTGAACTGAAACCAAGAGTCAGATGCTTAACTGACTGTGTCACCAGGGGCCCCTATTTTGCCTCCACTTTGAATGACAGGTTGGTTAGGGATGTTTCTTAGTTCAAAATATGTCTCATAAGCACTTTTTAAATAATGTTCCACTGTTATTTAACATTCTATGTTCCAGATTAGAAGACTAAGTGCACACCCGATTTTCACTCCTTTATAGGTAACCATATGTTTCTATTTGGAAACTTATGAGACTGTATATTAATTTACCCATGAGGTTCATAAATTTCATTGCAATGTATCTACTGTGTCTATCAATACTCTTTTAAGACTCTCTGTATGAATGTATGAATGAACTAGACAGTCCATTCATAAACTCAGATACTTCTGAGAGAAATTTCCTTGTTGCTTTCCTTTCTTCTTTTGACATTCTACCATAAGGTGAGAAAGGGAAATCAGGCATCTACTGTTAGCTAGCCAGAAACTCTTAACTTGTGTCACATTTTTCTATAAGCTTGCTGAAAAGGTATACTTACTGATCATTCCCACTACACAGATGAAATGGAGACCAGAGAGGGAAAGGCTGATTTTATGGGCAACACTTTGTCTCCTGATACATCTTTCCGTTTGGCTCTGGATGCCCAAGATTCAGCTTGGATACTCCTACCCTCATGATCTGTAGTTATTTCTCCTCTTCTAATTTCTGTTTCTTCTTGGAACTGCTATGAGATGCTCATTGATTCTTCTGGATCTATTTTCCATGTCATAACTATTTTTTCCTATTTCTACTTTTTAATATTCAAAACTAATTATTTTCAAGGCAGCCTCTATATGTTAAATAGGTATGATGCCCTCCCAAATCTGAGCATACTAATATTAATTTTAAAGTTTTCTTCTATTCCTTACATCAATTCCATTGCTTCAGGTCTAGTTCTACATATCTCTTACATGCTACTAATTTCTGTTGTTTATCCCCATTATAAAGGTATCAGCATCTCAGTATACATGGAAATCACTGTACTTCTGCAGTAAATTCACATTTGTAACTAACCCTATAATGCAATTTTATACTTACACCCAGACTTGTATAGTATGACAACAACAAGATAATTTTTTTAACTTGCAAACCCATGATTTTCAATCCACTTTTTTAGTCACATCATTTTGGTGTTTCATTTCCCTTAACAACCACCAACTTGAGTAACACAGTTACTATCTAAGTGTTATGCAATAAGCTTCAGGGACAGATCGTCACCAGCTCTAACAGACTTATCTAACAGTTAAACAAGTAATCAGAGTCTGGTAGAAGATTGTCACAGATGTGCAACTAAAGAAATAAATAATAATACAGTAATGAATCACTTAAGTCTTGAACTCAAAATAGTTTTGCTTTTTACCAATATTTAATGTTACAGTAGTTAAAATAACAAATTCTACTGAAAAAGAAAGATTCCATGTTGGTTAAAACAATTTTCTGCCTACCGTATGATGGTTATTCCATAGCTGACAGAAATGCACACAGGTGTTCACCAAGAACATTTATAAGAATGTCATAGTATTCTTCAAAATATGTAATAACAGAAACTGGAAACACAAATATCCATCAACAAAAGAATAGTCATGTAGTCATACCAATGGAATATTAACCATCAATAAAAGATAACGAACCACTGATACATGAAACATCATGAGTGACTCTCACAAGCAATGCGCTAAGCATTTTGCATGATTCCATTAACAACAAGCCCAAAACAGACAAAACTAAGAGATGATGACAGAAATTGTAACACTGATTGGGGGCAGGAGTAAAACTTGGAAGAAGCAGAGGGAAACTCCTGGGATGATGGAAATGTTCTGTAAATATAATTTGTTGGTCTAGCTTGTGGTAACACAAGTTAATAAATATATAAAAATCCACTCAGTTGTATAATTAAGATTTAGGTACCTTATGACTTCACATGTATTTTATACCTCAATAAAAAAGTTAAGAAAGAACATAATTTCCAAACTGTCAATATTCAATAAATATTGTAGTCAACCATATTCAGCCATAAATATTGGAAACCCAAAATCCTTTTTATATTCTTTTAGCTGTAAATGATTTTAAACAAATGGTATCAGAATAATAATACAAAATGAAGGTTAGCATTCTGAGTCATAAGATACTTGGTTTCCCATGTCTAAATTTGGGAGCACTGTGCTTTGTTTTGTTAAGATTTTTATTTGTTTGACAGAGAGAGAGAGAGAGAGAGAGACAGCGTGACAGGTAACACAATCCGGGGGAGAGGGAGAAGCATGCTCCCCGCTGAGCAAGGAGACAGATGTGGGGCTCGATCCCAGGACACTGGGATCATGACCTGAGCCAAAGGCAGATGCTTAATGACTGAGCCACCAGGCGCCCTGGAAGCACTGTTTTAATACATTTTTAAAGACAACATTAATTCCACCAGAAATAAAGACCCAGCTCCTGAGAACCTTCAATGAGGTTAAATGTCCAGACGCTGCATATAAATCTCAAGAACAGGCTGAAGGATAAGAGCTTAAGATTTATAATTAAATTTTCGTTCTGCAAATAATGTCATCACCAATAAAAGCATCACTATTGCGTTTACAAATTAATCCTCCGCCCGCTGTTCAGAAATAGCGCAATTTTCCAGATGAAGACTGAAATTGCAAGAAGCTCCCGGTCCTGTAGTCTCCTCCGCCCCACTAATTCTTACACGGATGTGCGTCTTTAAAGGCTCCTGGTTTCTGGCAGATAGAGCGAGGGGCAGCTGTCAACAGACTACTACATTAACGCCATAAAGAGGTAACAGCTGACTACAAAGTTTATACACTGAGAGAAGCATACAGAGTGGTGAGTTAGATTAAAAAAAAAAAAAAAGGTGATAAAAATAAAACACACCCAAACCAACGGTCCTCTGACAGCATCGTTTTCAAAAGAGAACTCAAACCGCTCCGAAAAAACTGTGACTTTTCCTGACACCGCAGCGGCCTCCCGAGGGCTTGTCCGGGAGGCGACCCCATCGGGATAGGGTCCCCCGGCTGGCTCGTCCGTGAAGCCACCCGACCCGGACAAGGACCCACAGCCCTCCGCCCGCGCCCCGACGCCCAGACCAGACTGCCCCGGCCCGAGCCGCCAGAGCCACAGGCAGGCGAGGCCGGGTGGGGCCGGGTACTTACCGCGCTCACCAGTCCGCGCAAGGCCACCGCCGCCCCGCCGCCTTCTCCCCGACCGCGGGCATACACCGGCGGCGCCCAGCGCACAGGGTTTACCACCGCCTCACAGCCCACCACACGCGGCCGCGCAGACGACCGCCACTTCCGGCGCGCGTGAGGAAATGAGGCTGCCGCCACGGCGCGCGCCTGCCCCGCCCCGCCCACACCCAGCGCCGGCAGCCCCGCCCTATCCCCGCCCACTTTCCCGCCCGCGCCCCTTGTCAGGCTTGGGAAACTCAGTAACTGACATACAGTAGTGACTAATCGATTATCTGTTTAAAATATGTGTGTGTGTAGTTCCAGAAACGATTTATAGCGACCGGTAGAGTGCCCCAGGCAGAAAATCGTTCCCGCCGGAACAAGAGTCTACAGGGACGGGAGTACCAGCTCCAGAGGACCACTGACTGCGAGAGGGAGGGACTCAGCCGAGGATGGCAGCGCAGTTCTGCTCGGGACCTCTGTCCTGGGAGCCCGAAGGGGCGAAGAGTGCCTTCGTGGGCACTGAGCTAAGGACTGACAGATCGACAGAGATGTCCCAGCATCCTCAAGGGTGCTAGGCTGCGCTTGATATCCCCAGCGAGGAAGTCCTGAGTTGCCACTGGACCTTTAGCCATTCCATTACTTTGGACGTGGGTGGGTTTCCTTATATGTGAAACGAGGGAGACATTGTGGAAGATGACTTGAGAGCTAACGCTGTATGATTTTAGTGAGTGAAAAAAAGAAAGCCCTCCCCAACATCCCTTCCACTCAACTGCTTATTTCAGAGCATCCCCCAAGGACGCTGCCTTGGAGAGTGATAGCCTGTGCGGGGGGTGGGGGGCGGATATCAGGCAGCACCAGCCCCTGCTTGTGTCTGGGCAGGACACGGAGGTGGTAAGAGTGGCTGTGGGGTCTGCCTCCCACCATGCTCTGCTTTCCTTAGTGGCTACCTTGGCAGGTGACCACACTTAGCCTCTCTTAGCCTGTTTCTTCAGCTGTGTTGTAGGGACAGTAATGATAGCATATGCTTCCTAAGGGTGTTGTGAGTGTTAAATGCAATTTTGTGTTTGATGCGTTTGGCACACTGCCTGACAGGTGGCAGGCAGTTGAAGCTCACTGTCACCATTAAGTACATTAGTTTGAGCAGAAGACTGGGGTGACTATGGGATGCATCCCATAGAAGTGGCATTCCTAGAAGGGAAGATTTGCTCCCAATCACAGCTGTCTTCATTGTATGATGGTCATTGGGATGTCTTTAATACAGATGTTCTCGTCAGATACGTCTTGTGGGAAATCCCACTGGTAAGAGAGTGGATAGCCTACTTCTAAGCCAGGCTTGCTGGATGTCCAGCCTCTTCCTAATTTCAAGGTGTCATTCCTCTCTCATGTCATTTCTGAGCAACTGTAAGCGTTTATAGTTTTAACACTCCTTCCCTCAACCTGGCCCAAGAGTAAATAATTCATCTAGTCATAGATTCCATGGGTCTGGGACCTTGTGAAGATACGGACCATGTCTTTTTCATCTACCACGACTCGGCACGTAAGAAGCATTCAATAAATGTGAATTGAATTGGTTAAAATAAGAACGCACAAGTATCTCTCCCTCATCCAGAATCTATCTCCTTTATCCAGAATCTCAGACCCCTCAAGAGGATGGCATGAATGATTAAGTTTATTGTCATAATTAAGCTTTCTGTACAGATGCCTGATTATGCTCTGGTATGGCAGTCAGCCTTGTGTGAGTCTACTTAGCATAAATTCTCTAATGTTTAAGACTGCCATGGGTGTTTTTGTTCTGTAAACCTGAGGATCCAGCTTGGGAGTGTAAATGCAAATGTAAATTCTTGTGGGAGAATTAGGGAGTGGGTACAGAGCACAACATTGGTGAATTTAAGAGGATAAGCCAGAAGTACTTTAAATATTTAAGGTGTTATTGCAAGTAAATATAAATGGCAGTCCATTGAACTGTCAGGGGATTATGTTCCCAGGCTGGCAACTTTGAAGCCCTCCATCCCACTCTAAGTTACTACATATTGTTAGTTAAGACGTTGTAATCAGCCTATGCCTGACATTCCTGCTGATGAACCTTAGGAAGTCTACAGAAAAAGGAGTATGTGGACTTTGTCCTCCAGTATCATATCCAATAACAGCAAATGCTTAGGCTGTTTTCTTTTTCTGCTGCCCCTACAGACTTTAAATTGGATGAGACTATCTGCTCCCCTAGGGCAGGGACATGGCCTCTCCTTTTCTCTCAAGCACTCCTAAGCCAGGCACAGGGCCTGACCCATTATATGTGCTCACTGCATACCCACAGATGCATGAATGCCTGAATACTGGTGAATTCTACAGCTCTAACTTTCCTCTAGTCGGGGCCAAGTAATAGCAAGATAAGTCTCTACTTCCACTAATCAGATGCAAAAAAATCCTCACCTTCCATTGTGCTGCAGTGCACAGTTAAACATTTACACAGTTAAACATAAACACAGTTAAACATCCCTTCCACGTTAAACATTCTATTTTTTGTCTACCTCCACTAGCCTTATAAGTGTTGGGTTTTCTTTTTTATTTATAGCATTTGTTTTTCTTCCTTTGTCCTACACTTTCCTTACTGATCATGCTGTGTAGCCACGTGTGGCATAGGCTGCATTCAGCAGCAGGTGCGTCTCCCAGTTTTAACCCTTCTAATCCTATTGACATCCCTGTGGAGTAGGTTACAGTCCTCAGTTTACCATGGAGAAAACAGAAACTCAGAGAGGAAACTGCAGAGGCTCACCCAGGACAGGAACAGACCTGAAGTTGAAGCAGTGTGGTTAGGGTTAGCAGTCATGTCTTGTACACTGCTGGTTGGATTCTTCATTAGCATTGTTGTCTTTAAAATAATTGAGGTTCTGCCATCAATGGATTTAAATTGTTAGCTTTTTATTATTTTTTGAATTGCTAAATCAAATACTAAATGCATGTAATTTAAATTTGGAGAGACAATAATGCATAATTCAAGTTCTGTGGCAGATAATGGGTGATACAAATAAAATAAGTAGTTCCAATGAGAAAAATACAAAAGTACTGTTGTGGTATAGTAATATCAGAAGAATAGAGTTTTTTCCCCAAGAATCTCCACTCTGAGGTGGTGGTGCCTGCTGCTCCTTCTTCTTCTCCTTCTCCTTCTAACTATAAAGCTTTCCCACTCCCCTAACCTGCTTTTGAGCTCTTGCCAAATGGAAGTGATGAGGGCTGACTCCCTTGCTATATAGCAAGCTCTGAAGAGCCTTTGCCTATTCTCATTGGGCCATTTTTGTTTCCATAGTTTCCTTAATGGGGCCACCAAGCTATGGCCTTCATTGCTTATTGCCTCACACCATAGCCTTCACTCAGGCATGGTATTCACAGAGGCCCCTTGTGCCCTGTTGTTCTTGGTTTATCAAGTCTATAAGAATATGGCAAATTGGCATCGGGTCTGACCTCTGCTTGCTTTGCCTTGAGTTCCTTGGCTATTAATTCTCAGTTTGGGAATCTGGTTTTGTTATTGATTCCCATTTATTTGGAATCTTTGATGGAATCAGTCCATTCCCTTCATCCGCTTTTGCTGTCTTTTATGTTACTGTTTTGCCTGCTTTCTAAAAGTTTGTTTAACATATGGAGAATCATAGGGCAGAACGCTGGCATAGGCCCTAGAACACTGTTGCTCAAGTTGGTTCACAGACCTGAGTTTGGGGTTCTCTCTAGACCAGCGTCCATTTTCACATGGTATTCTCCCCTGTGTCTTCCTTGTGTCCAAATTTCCCTCTCCTTATTAGGGTACCAATCATTGGATTAGGGGCCCCCATAGTGCAATATGACTTCATCCACAAAGACCCTATTTTCAAATTAGGGCAAATTCACAGGCTGTGGAATTACAGACTTGAACATAATCTTTTGGGGGGTCAATTCTACCCACTATAGATGGCAACCTTTTCAATTTCTGGTAGATTCAGGTGCCACTCTTTCTGAATTAAACCCTGCCACTTTTGCTCAATCTTTTCCTGGGAGTAAAAATATGGCATATGGAAAGCATTTCAAATAACCCACAGATTTCCTCTGTTTCCTGAATGGTTAACTGTAAGCATTGAGCCTTTGATTGCCAACACTTACAATAAGAGATTCTCTCCTCTGGGAGCCCAGATATGAACAGGCTTTCTAGAACCTGTGGGTGGCTCCTCAAAGGTCTCCTTCCCTAGACATCTGAGACAGGAGAAAGCCCTTTTGCCTGTTTGTGCAAGAGCAATCTGGACAAGCCCTTGGAGTTCCATGGGAACTATCCAAAACCCATCACTTACTGTAGCCTTCCCTTGACATGCTGTAAAGACTTATTTCCCCAGTGTTAGGGCAAGTGCTCAGCTACAAAATTTGCTGATGCTTCTGCTGAGCTAGTTCCAAGCTCCTTGCTTGACCTCATGATTCTTCCTGAAATAGAGACATTACTATTGACTGGAAACACAGTACTTCTCAGCCACTGATTAAACTCTTATGAAATTCTATTATTCTCTCCCTCTCAAGTCCTACTTACTGCTATAACACCCTGAATCCAGGCACTCTCCTTCCTCTATCAGAAGAAGGGAAGCCTATTGCTGATAATTTGATAATCAGATAATTTGAGAACTCTCTGTACCTTACTCATATGTTAATTATAGTCTCATATTGAGAACCCTGAGCTAATCCTGTTTGCTGATGAATCATTCTTGAAGCTGGAAGTTATCAAGCAGCATATACTATCATTAATTGAAGAGCTCCTTTAGAATATAGTCTTCTCCTGAGATAAAATCAGTCCAAATGGCAGAATATATGGCATTTACTAGAGCTTGTTAACTAGCCAAAGACTAGAGAGTAAACATATATATAGACAGGAAATAGGCTTTTGGAGTACTACACAACTTTAGGATGCTAGAACCCCCACAAAAATGGACAGCAAGTTAAGCAGTTTTTAGATGCACTCTACTTACTGCAAAGGTGGCTATTATGAAGTTCGAGAACCATGCAAAAAGAGACAAG